GTCATTTTTGTGACCCTGCTCAGAGCCAGGCTGGTTGCTAGTCTCATCCTCAGCCACCTCCTGCTCAATTTCCTCAGCCTTGAGGCTATCCCCACAGACCTGCTTAGTGGGAGGACCATCCTCAGCTTCCCCAGAGGTCTGTTTCCCAGGCTGGGCCAACAAAGCCCTCCGTCGTTTTTCCTTACGTCGTCGCCTTCGCCGCTTGTCCTTCATTGCAGCTTCATCAGTGTCAATGATAAGGTCAATATCATGGGATTGAGGACACTGTGATCCCAGGGGGCACCAGCCATAGGCCTAGAGGTAGGAAAGAGGCTTAAAGAAGAGTTCCAGGTATCAGAACCTCCCCTCCCCCAGGAAATAGGTGGGTACTCTCACCGAGAAGTTATCACAGACGCTGGTGGAATGAGGACGGTGGGTTGCAGGGGGCATACAGCAGCGGTAGTCTACGTGGGCTCTCATGCTAGAGGGATAGTTGCAGAACTCCAAGATAAGGTGTGGGCTTCCAGCTGCCCGCTGCTTGCCGTTTTCCCGCTCACTGTAAAATCATAAGAGGGTATTGGTCCACTAGCATATAAACTCCACTCCACTGTTTTGTTCACTGCTGAGTCCTCATCACCTAAAACAGTGCCTGGCACATGGCAGGCACTCAGTATCTTAAATGAACGAAATAGTCATGTTTATACCACCCCTTTCCTTCAACCAGTCCCTCACCATTTCCGGAAGGCATATTCTAGGTAGGAGGCCACAAAGCGGGCATGAAACTCAGCAGCATATTTGGTGTCATAAATGCCAGCTGGGAACATTTCACATAGGTCAGCAGTGAAGGTTCCCAAGTTCTCAGGCAGGTGTGCATAGAAATTCTGGTACAGAAACACCAAGTCTATGAGACCATTGTGCAGTATCAGGGGCCGGCGGGCCCGGATTAGCTCCAAGAAGAGTGTTCTCACCGACTGGCTCTGGCTCTCATCACCCTGGGTGGAAAGAAAGGAGTCATCAGGATGGACAGAGTCCCCTAGGGAGCCTCTTTTATATTATATTTATCCCAAGCTCCCCAACCTGGAAAACTCTCCCTCCCTGCCTAACCCAATGCTATTCACCCATGTATTACTCTTGTTTCCTCAGCCCTGTCACTAGTGATTCCCCATTCTCCCTGAGAAGCAGATCCTCCCCTCACATCCAGCCTAGGGTAGGAAGAAAATAAAGTCAAAGAAGGGGCAGTCTCAAGGCTGGAGGCCTACCTTGTCGTTGCCTTTATGGTATGGGATACCCTGGGCATACTGTCTGTTGAAGTTGAAGCCATGCTGTACCAGGAACTGCACAGACTTTGGTTCTATGACATACTCTTCCATGCAGAGCAGGGTCAGATTGAACACCTGGGTCAGGTATAAGTGTTCACCCTGGGAGAGAAAGAGGGTCTGCTTCATCAAAACCTCACACATGATATTTCCCAGATTTCAACACTCCTCCTCCCCCTAGCCAGGAACCTGGAAAGGGGGTGAAATCAGCCCATACCTTGTCTGGCTGCTGCTTGAAGCAGGCAAGGCCCAGGGAGAGGATAGAACGGGTCCTGGCAGCATGACACACGGCCTTATAACGTTCCTCGATGCACCTTGGGGTTGGGTTTGGGGGTGGCTGTGGCTGGGAGTTAGCCTCATAAAGGACCCAAACCACCCAAGACTGTGATCTCCACTCCAGTGTTAAGGTCTGCCCCCACTTCCCCCAGCCAAAGCCAGAACTAAAGAGATCATGGCTTATACTCACTGGTTCAGCAAACTCTTTCTATCCCCAAGCCCACTCAGTTCCTATGGGTGGGTAAAGGGAGAGATGAGTTAGGTCCCCAACACCAGCCTTTTCACAACCACCTGCCCTCCCGGTTTCCCAACCCTCACCGTGTCCACAGCCACAAAGTTAGCTGTCTTTATGGCCAGCAGAAGGGATGGCCACATCTCCTTAAAGTTGTCACTTTGCACATCCACCACTGGAACCTGGACTACCAGCTCCTCCACAGGTTTTGTGCTTTTGCTGACACCACCTGGGAGTGAGGAGGATGGGGGGAGAGAGATCAAGCTAGGCCGTGGCTTGGGGGCGTTTTCCGTTATGGCAAGAAATATCAAGCATTGTATCGGCATGCTCTACACACAGGTCTTGGAGTAAACGGTGCCCTAAATTTGGGAGAGAATTCTGGGTCTTCCAGTTGCTATGTGAGACCTTGGGAAAATCACTTCTCCCTCGGCATCAGTATCTGTATAAGAGGAAGTTTGAACCAGGTGATCTGTGAGGTTCCTTTTTCCCATGTCCTGCAGGAACTATTTGTTACGGCTGAAGAAGTTCAGCTCTAATATCCTATCCGGCTCCATACTATTATTCTCATGGTTCCCTAGCAGCCACAAGTGCCAGTAGCCTGTATGCCCCAGAGCATAGCGATGCCCCAGAGATAAATAACGCCCCGCACCTAGGCTCCCAATACGCCCAACTTCCTTTGGACCACAACTCCCAACCGGTCCCACATAACAGAGCAATGAGTTTCAGACTACATGTCCCGACATGCCCCCAACTATCCTAACACTCCAGGTTTTAGCAGCCCGAGCCGTGGTGCACACTGGGACGTGTAGTCTCCACATAGCTGGTTCAGAAGGAAGAAGCTAGTCCCCTGAAACTTGAGATCGGTTTCTAGAACTGTGAGCCTGAGGCCTTCCGGTCCACTGGGACGCACGGCTTTTAAGGCGGTCCCTGAAAAACCACTCACCGTCAGAGATCGCTGGAGCTGAGGCTGCGCCATCGTCACTGTCGGCTGCCATGACACCGAGCGTCCCTCGCCTGAACAGACTGTTGGTATGGGGGACTTCCGCTTTGTCTCCTGGCGCGACTTCTGCGTTCGCGGGTTGGGGCAGGCCCTCGCCTCCGGAAGTCGCTGAAGGGTCGGAGTTCCGTTCAGACCTCCCGGGCCTGGAGCGGAGGAGTGGGTTCCGAGCGTTCTGGGAGCCTATTGGCTATCGCGGTGCAGCTCGCCGCCCGATTGGCCGGAGCCACGCCCCCTGAAGCGGGACGGCGGACAGCGTGGGAGGTAATTCTTTGTGTACCGCGGGGTGGGAACGTGGGCTTGAGCTTTATGCTGTCTTCAGGGACCCTGCTCCGGGGTAGGGGTGGGTGTCCCTAGAGGAGGTGGCGCTGCCGGAGCTAAGCTTAAAGCAACCGTAGGAGTTAGGCAAAGACGGGAATGTGGGGGAAAGATGTATGTTCTGGGAAAGGTCAAGTTCCCTGGGAGGATGGAGCTCACCGCGTTCCACGAGACTGCAGAGGGGTTAGAGAGACCTACAGCAGGGAAGCTTTTAATATAAAACAGGCAGGTGGTAATAAGGACTTGAATTAAGGCTCCACCAGTAGGGACGATGAGAAAGAGACATATTGTAAGCAACTTGTTGGTACAGGTGATCAAGAGGGTGATTGGACATGACTCCTGCTACGGTAAGGGAGGTGTCCCTACCAGAGAGACCAGCCCTTTCCCAAGACCTCCAGTTTCCATCCTTTCCACCTACCAAGGACTCTCCCCTTTCTCCTTGGTTAGTCATTGTTTCTAATTCATTTTCAACCTTACTCTCTCCCTTTTCATCATTATTCAGAATTGTTTGGATTTCTCCTATTCAAAAAAAAAGGAAAACTCTCATCCCATTAAGTGTTTACTGTGTACTATTTACCTGGCACTGTGCTCAGCTCAGGGGTTACAACAGTAAACAAGAGACCCAATACTTGCTTTCATGGAGCTTTACAGTAAAGTTGGGGAAGGTACACTGATCAGAGAATCACAAATAAATGTGAAATTGCAATTGGTGTAAGAGCAACAATGGAGAAGTATACAAGAGACTAAGACTGGGTGGGGGTGGACCTGATTTGAACATTTAAGTCAAGACCTGAAGAATGAGTAGATGTTAGGTAAAGCATAGGAGAAAAGCTGCCAAGCAGAGGAAATTGATTGGGTGGGGCCTCAAGGTGTACAGACACCTGGTGGATTGAAGCATCTATTTCAGGCGCACATGGCTGGAGCATAATGATCTAGGGGATGAGGCAGATGGGGCCTTGGAGCCTATAAGTCTTATGTTAAGAGGATTGGCTTCTAAGAACAATGGGTGTGACAGCCAAAGTCCTCCAGTGGCCTATGAGGTACTATGTGATTCTGTGTCCCCCATCTTCTTTAGCTCTCTGACCTTATTTCCTACTCCCCATTCCCTCCTCATTCTGTTTTAACCACACTGGTTTCCTTATTGTTCTACAAACACAGCAGGTACCCTCCTTAGGGCCTTTGCACTAGCTCCTTCTTAGTGTGCCCTTTACACAGATATCCACATGGCTAACTTCTTCAACTGCTTTAAGTCATTGGTCACTTTAATAAGGCCCACCATGGCCATGTTCTTTAAAATTGCAACATTCCACTTCCACCCCATCCCAATTTCTTATTCCTTTCACCTGCTCTACTTTTCTCATTATGCTAGTATTTATCACCTAATATCCCATATACTTTAGTTATGTATATTACTTACTGTCTGCCCCATTAGAATATAAACCCTGGGAGGGCGGGAACCTTTGATGTTTTCTTTTTCTTTTTTTCCTTTTTTTTAATCCTCACCCAAGGACATTCCTCCATTTTTTGTTCAGATAGAGTGGGAGGGAGAGAGAGGAAGAGAGAGAGAGAGAAGCATCGACGTGAAAGGGACACAATGAGTGGCCGCCTCCTGCACGACCCAACCAGGACCGGGGACAGACTGCACCCGAGATATGTACCCTTAACAGGAACCAAACCTGGACCGCAGGCTGACGCTCTAACCGCTGAGCCAAACTGGCCAGGGCTGATGTTTTATTTAATGAAGTATTCTAGTACCTAAACTGCTTGGCACATAGTAGACATTCCATAAATATTTGTTCAGTGAATTAATGGGAAGCTATTGAAGGTTTTAAGTAAGAAAGTGACACGATCGTGTCTTAAAAGATTGCTTTACTCTATTTAGAATGGATTGTAGGATGAATTATGGAAGTAAGTGAGTTTGGTGAAGGAAGTTTGGCTGTGAAGGGAAGAAGAGTGGGTCTTGAGGGGATTGAAGGAGCAGGCCTGAGCTCAGACAATTGAGGAAGAAGGATCATTCTTTCATAGAAGGAGTGGGCAGATGGAGGTACGTTTGTACATTTATTCTTTTTTTTTTTTTTCTCAAGAAGGAAGCAAGTTCTTTCGATGAAATGAGGTGATAAAGTCAAAACTTTGAGGAGAGAGTTTGACCCAGAGGTTCAGCAGGGACTGCAGTAGAGCAGAGTGCAAGAGTGTACATTCTAGAAGCAAACCTTTTGGGTTTGAATGAGCAAGTTGCTTAATCTATAAGCCTCAGTTTCCTCGTAACTAACATGGATGTAATACTAGAACATACCTCATGGAATCATCAGGAGACTGAGCAATCTGGTAAAGCACTTAGGGTCTGGCATATAGTAAGTACTCACTAACTGTTAGCTACGTGTAGGTATTAGAAAAAAGGCAGCTACAAGAACAGTAAGGGAGCAGTGAAGATCAGCCAAATGCACTTTCTTGTTTCTAATGGCCAGCTAGCTATGATTTTCTAGATCAGGAAAAGATTAGGAGTAAAAATAGCTTGTCTCTCCTCCCCACCCCCTGACTTGACATCTGCTCTCTGGCAAATCTTTTCACCTCTCTGATCCTTGGTTTCTTCTATAGAATGAAGGTTTGGACTAGATGACTGTTAAAGACCATTTCATTGTTAATGTGCTATATCTCTAAACAAATAAACTTCCTACCCATCCCCATGCTTCTAGACACATCTCAAGAACCTCTGTTCACACACATAGTCACGATAAGCTTTAGGGATACACAACTGCTTCCACACAGGAGGCTTTGGTCCTTGATCCAGCCCAGCCCTGGCCTCTTATTTTGTGTATGTCTCCAGGACTATCCTAATGCTGGTCCCTCTGAGGCCATTTGGAGAAGCCCAGCCCTATTGGTCAGCCTCAGTAGTCAAGAGCAAGCTCATGAGGATCTGGAGGATTCTTGAGAAAAGCTAGACATGCTATATGAATGGTATAGGGAGGGAGGTGGCTCCACTCCCTCTAGGGCCCCAATATTCAGCCTAATTTTGACTGACTACTTTGGCTGGGTCTTTGTATTCTAGGCCATCATGAAGAAGCTACGAGCAGCTGTGGGAAGTCGTCGCAGGAAGCAGGCATCCAGCCAGGAGAGAAGGGAGAAACATGGCCTTAGCAACAGCCAGACCAAGCCTTTTCTCCCTGATGGTGAGGAGCTTGGACCTGGTAAAAAAACTCAGAGGCTGGTTTTATTGGCTATGAAAGGGGACAGATTTAGGCTAGGAAGGGAGCATGGTATATATAAAGGCATTAAGGGACTAATTAAGGATCTAATTCTGACTTTACAGTATGACTGGGATAATTACTCTTAGTGGCTGCTTTCTTACCAGTGACATGGAGCTATAGTCTGTGCGTTTTCTTCCTCGTGTGGCTTTCACGGGATCAAAAGAGGTTATCAGGCCCTGGCTGGTTTGGCTCAGTGGTTAGAGCATCGGCCCCGGACCAGAGGGTCCCGCTAAGGGCACGTATCTCGGTTGCAGTTTGTCCCTGGCCCCGGTTGGGGTCGTGTGGGTGGCAACCACTCAATGTGTCTCTCTCACATCGATGTTTCTCTCTCTCTCTTTCCCCCTCCCGCTCTATCTGAAGATAAATGCAAAAATGTTCTCAGGTGAGGATTTAAAAAAAAAAAGAGGTTTTCAGCCTGAAAATATTTTGTAAATGGGAAAGCTCTGTGCAGATATATGTTATACTTGATTGAAACTGTTGGATTTTTATTATGACCCAGAGACAAATGAACCAGCAGTACCACTCTGGGAAAATTAAAGCTAGAAACTTGGCTAAGGCTACACACAGCTAGAGAATTCTGGTCTGACTCCAGGTCCAAGGCTTAAGCAAGGGGTTGGGGATGCGGGAAGCCCTAAGTGGAAGCAGACTGCAACCAGGCTGCAGTGTCCCAGGTCCCTGGTGCACACCCTATGCAGGGACAACTCTGGAGTTTCCTGAGGCCTCAGCAGGCCTGACCAGGCAGCAGGAGGAGGTGGTATTGCAGGCCTCTGTCTCCCCGTACCATCTATTCAGAGATACAGCTGAGGTCACAGTGTTCCGGGAGAGCCTGCTGAGCTGGTACGACAGAGAGAAGAGGGACCTACCCTGGAGAAGGCGGGTAGGCTGGCGAGGGACAGGGACAGGGGTGGGAGGCTAGCGCCAGCACCCTCCACACTAACTCCTCATCTGGTATTGCATTGGCAGGCAGAGGGTGAGGTGGACCTGGACAGGCGGGCATATGCTGGTGAGTACATCTCCTGAGAGCAGAGCTGCTTTGCCTGTACGCCTTCAGGTCTGGGGCTGGGGACCAGGGGCTAGGAGCAGGGCAGGTCAGCTGTACCCTCATGCCAACCCCTCTCCCCCAGTGTGGGTCTCAGAGGTCATGCTGCAGCAGACCCAGGTTGCCACGGTGATCGACTATTATACCAGATGGATGCAGGTGACTTCAGGGGAGGAAGGGGAGGGTCATGGGCTAGACCCCAGCTGAGCGCCTGTGTTTTGGGGTGGGGGTAAAGAAGGCTTCTTCTACTTCCCTTACCCTTGACCTCATCTAATTTTGCCTACCTTCGGGCTGTAGAAGTGGCCAACACTGCAGGATCTGGCCAGTGCTTCCCTGGAGGTGAGACCCACCCTAGGGGAGGGGGAAATGGGGACAACAGAGGGCTGTCTGCTGATTTCTCTGACCTCTGACCTCACCCACAGGAAGTGAACCAGCTCTGGGCTGGCCTGGGGTACTACTCTCGAGGCCGGCGGCTGCAGGAGGGAGCTCGGAAGGTAAAGGGGTGTTAGGGAGGGTGGGATCCGCAGGGCCTCAGGTGTCTCCTAACTTCGAACCTTTCCCACTCCATTCAGGTAGTGGAGGAGCTAGGGGGCCATGTGCCAGGTACCGCAGAGACCTTGCAGCGGCTCCTACCTGGCGTGGGGCGGTACACAGCTGGAGCCATTGCTTCCATTGCCTTTGGCCAGGTGAGCCCGTAGCCCACCCCCATTTTGTTCATGCCCACTTTGTCCCAGACCAGGCTGACTCATGGACTCCTCTGTATCAGGTGACCGGTGTGGTGGATGGGAATGTAATACGGGTGCTGTGCCGTGTCCGAGGCATTGGTGCTGATCCCAGCAGCACCCTTGTCTCCCAGCAGCTCTGGTAGGATATGGGGGTAATGCGGGATATTGGGAAGTGTGCCTCCAAAGGGTCTTTGGCTCACAGAAATGTTCCCTTCTGATAGGAGCCTAGCCCAGCAGCTGGTAGACCCAGCCCGGCCAGGAGACTTTAACCAAGCAGCCATGGAGCTGGGGGCCACAGTGTGTACCCCGCAGCACCCGCTCTGCAGCCAATGCCCCGTGCAGAGCCTGTGCCGGGCACGCCAGAGGGTGAGCCATCTGTGGAAGGGGCATTTGGGTCCTAGGGAGTGACCCCTGCCCCATGACATCCTTCCCTCTGTCTCTCAGGTAGAGTGGGAGCAGCTTGTAGCCTCACAGAGCCTACCAGGCAGTCCTGACGTGGAGGAGTGTGGTGAGTTCCCGTCCTAGCCCCAGCCCTTCCCTGTACTGTCAAGGAGCTGCCTGTGGAAGCCTCATTCCAGTTCATCCTACAACCTGAGTAAGATTCTGCAGAGCTGGGCCAAGGCCTGCTGTCTGGGCTTGGCACCTAAGCCCACCTGGCCTGAGTGGGGCTTGGGGACCTCTGTTCCCAGCTCTCAACACTGGACAGTGCCGGCTGTGTGCACCTCCTACACAGCCCTGGGACCAGACTCTGGGAGTGGCCAACTTTCCCAGAAAGGCCAGCCGTAGGCCCCCCAGGGAGGAGTGCTCTGCCACCTGTGTTCTGGAGCAGCCCAAGGCCCTTGGGGGTGCCCGAATTCTGCTGGTGCAGAGGCCCAAGTCAGGTACCTGGATCCTGGGAGTGGAGGGCAGTAGCATGAGCGATAGGAGAGAAATGGAGGAGTCAACAGATAAGGCTTAACTCACACCTACTGACCTCTGTCTCAGGTCTGCTGGCAGGACTGTGGGAGTTCCCGTCTGTGACTGTGGATCCCTCAGGGGAGCACCAGCGCAAGGCCCTGCTACAGGAACTGCAGAATTGGGCTGGGCCCCTCCCAGCCACCCGCCTGCAGCACTTTGGGCAGGTGAATGAGCAGTGAGGGGCCAGGAATGATGGCTTTTTCAGCCACATCCACAAGCCTGTTTCAGCCCCTTGGTCCTTCCCTAGGTGGTCCACACCTTCTCTCACATCAAGCTGACCTATCAAGTATATGGTCTAGCCCTGGAAGGGCAGGTCCCTGTGACAGTCACACCACCTGGCGCTCGTTGGCTGACCCGGGAAGAGTTTCACACTGCAGCTGTCTCCACCGCCATGAAAAAGGCACTATCTTTGTTGTCTTTTTTGTGTTTCTACGTGTTCTGCGTGAACCTATTACTATGTATATAGAAAAAAACAGCAAAAGGCACATATTAAACAGAAGTGCTAGGGCATGAAGTTGAGGACAGAACACAGGGTTCTGGCTTTTTGGGAGAAGATGCCAGCCCTTCACTCTCCCCCTCTCTTCTTGGCTAGGTGTTCCGTGTGTATGAGGGCCAACAGCCGGGGACCTACAAGGTGAGTCCTTGGCCCTCACCCAGCCATCCCTCTCCCTAGGCCTGAATCCACAGGTTTTCAGTGAGTTATGTGACACATTGGTTAAGTAACACTTGGGTGAACATTGTCTGCTCCAAGTTTCCCTAAGGGGAGAGGAATAGTCTTTTGTTTTTAATATGTTTTTATTGATTTTTTTTTAGAGAGAGAAAGAAACATCGATGTGAGAGGCTGCCTCCTGCACGTACTCCACTTGGGATCGAGCCTGCAGCCCAGGCACATGCCCTGACCTGGAATTGAACCAGGACCTCTCAGTCCATGGGATGATGCTCAATCCACTGAGCCACACTTGCCTGGCAGGAATAGTTCTTTTTTTTTGTTAATCCTCACCCGAGGGTATTTTTCCATTGATTTCTAGAGAGAGGGAGGGAGGGAGGGAGGGGGAAAAAGGGAAACACTGATGTGAGAGACACAATGATTGGTTGCCTTCCAAATGCAACTTGACAGAGGCTGGTGATCGAACCTGCAACCCAGGTATGTGTCCTTGACTGGGAATTGAACCTGCGACCCATTGGTGTGCAGGCCAATGCTCTGTATACTGAGCACACTGGCCAGGGCAGACCTCAGACCTTATGCTCTGGGGTCCAGGTGGAGAAGGGACAAGAGCAAATAATGGAGACAGGAGTGTCAGGTGTGTGAAATGTTTGTACTAGGTTTTATGAGATATGAGGTGGAGAGTTCTTAGTTCTGTCTGGGAGGAAAGGATCAAGGAAAGGCTGCTTGAAAAAAGTGTCTGGTGATCTGGGTCCTAGAAATGAATAATTTTCTCCAGGATTGGGAAGGGAATCAGCAATAAGGATGTTCCTCCAGGCTCAAGAGTAGTATAAGTAATGGTGGGCACAATGCAGTCTGTACTGTGTGAGGAACTCTGACACAGTGTTGGTTTAGCTGGAGGTAGCAGAGCCGTGAACACCAGGCCACTGAAGCATTCTAGGTGGAGAGAGGAGTCAGATTTATATTTGAGAAAGATTACCTTGGACTGCCTTTTAGAGAGTTGATGGAAGAGATAGATCCTGGAGATAGGTTGGAAGCTTTACTACATTCAGGCTAGAGTCTGAGCTAGATCAGTGGAGGAGGGGTAGAGGTGAAAGGAGAATATTCTTTGCTGCTCCCTTAGTGCCTTCTTTGGCTTCTGAACAGAGTCACAAAAGATCCCAGGTGTCTACTCCATCCAGCAGGAAAAAGCCCAGCCCAGGCCAGCAAGTCCTGGATAGTTTCTTTCGACCCCACTCCCCCACTGATGTATCTAAACTCAACAGTGTGGCCCAGTGACACCTCTGGAAGCTCCCTCCTCTTGAGAATCCTGTTGTTCAATAAAGTGCTTATTTTTATAGTTGTTTTGGAGACCTTCCATCTTCTCCCTAGCCCCCTTCCTCTTCACCTCTGAAGAGGGTCCCAGAAAGTGGTCATGTTCTGTTTGGTCCCGACTTCTACTGGCTGAGCTCCCAGCCAGCCCTGGGCAGATAAAGGGGGGTTGTTCTGTCCAGAGTAATCTGCCCTCCCTCGACCCCTAGGAGAGAGGGAAAAGGCAGCTGCAAGAAGCCACTGCCAGTGGCTAACACCCCATACCCTCATGCCAGGTCTCTGGTCAGTTCTGGAGCAGGTGGTTTGGGTCAGTCCTGACTTAGCCCCTACCCCCTGCTGTGGCTGCTCTCTAGGGGGAAGAGAAGCACAGGGGAAGATTTGTTCTGTTCGAAATTCCTACTCAAATCATTTATTTAGGGATACATTACATATGTAGTGAAATAATGCAGAAAAACAAGGGGTTAATAATCCTAAAATTGGGAGTGGGTGAAGGGAATATGTGATCAGAGAAGGACATAAGTCTTCAAAAGTGTTATGTTCTATTTCCTGAGGGAGTTACATTTAATATTTCCCATATAAGATATAGACTATGTAAGAAACGTTTTATAGTTGAAAACAAACCGACCTCTGGACCCCAGTGAGAGATTCAACTTCTGGCAGGTACTGACGAAATGGAGGCCACACCTGGCCCCTAGGGACAAAGCCTTTTACTCTGGTTCCACCAGGCCCTGTGCTGGACTTCCCAGACCTCCAGGACAGGTGGCTGTCAGCTCTGGCTTTCCTCAGGCTTCCTGACCCCTGGCAGCTTGCTCCACCGACTGCCACAGGGCCCGGATGTTGCCCTGGCCAAAACCTGTAGCCCCCTGCCTTTGAATCAGCTCCAGGAAGAATGTGTCCTCTGCAAAGAGGGACTTGGTGAAGACCTGAAGCAAAAACTTGCCTCTATCACCATCTAGCAGGATTCCCTGTAGGGCCAGACGCTTGGGCTCGTGCCCTGCAGCTAGGATCTGACTTTCCTTGCTTGGCTGCTGGTAGTAGGCCTTAGGGGGAGTCAGGAGCCGGCCCCCAGCCATAGTCACCCCATCAGTGGCTTCTATGATGTTTGGAGTGTACAGCCCTACGTGCTGTAGGCCTGGCCCTCTGTTGTGGGCCAGGAACTGCTCCACCTGGTCCTGTCCACTGGCGGCTCCGGGCAGGGACTCGGCCAGCACGAGAGTGGGGACAGTACTGCATGGCCCGGTCTGCAGGGCAGTGAGCCTCAGCCCCCCTTGCCCGGACCCTGCTGTCACCTGGAGGCCCAGCTCCGGATCCTCACCTGGGCTCAGTGGCAGGTGGTGAAAACCTAGACAGTCGTGGAACCAGCGTATCATAGTGGGGGAGCTGCCGCGGGTGCAGGCCAGGGTCAGATGGTCCACGTGGCTGATCCAGCCCTGGCCAGTTTTGGAGGACAGGGGCCGGAAACCGGGCAAGAAGGGTCCGTGGCAATCGGTGCGCTCCAGCAGCGTCAGGCTGAGGTTGCCGGCTGGCGAGCTGACCACGGTGTAGGTGGCGGCACCCTGTGCATCCTGCACGCTAACAGGGCATACCAGCACGCTGCAGCCCTGCGCCTCCAGCGCCCGGGCAGCTTCGCCCGCGTCCGCCACATCAAAGCACAGGTTGGTGGCGCTGGGCACGGCGTGATGCGGGTCCACGCCGTAGAGCGGCTCCCGGGTGCCCGTGCCCTCATTCACCAAAAAGACCGCATCGCCGCTGCGCAGGGCCAGCTGCCGCCAGCCGTCTGCCTCCCGCACCGCCAAGGGCTGGAAGCCGAAGAAGCGCTGCAGATCCTGGGCAAGGGGCTGCCCTGTGGGCACGTGAAAGGCGATATGGCACAGACGGCGGGCGGCCACGGCCATGGCGATCTGGTTGGTGACCCTGGACTGTCCTTCTCTTGGGCCCACTCACTTGTCGTTCAGGACTCCAGGACTCTGTCCCAAGCTTGTCGTCGGAAGTTGGTGGAGTCCAATTTTGCCCACAGAGCGCGTTCCTCCCGCGTTCCGGTGAGAAGTCACAGACTGACCCACTTGGGGGCTTGCAGTTCTCTCTACGGAACCACCCCACCCTAGAGATGCCTCCGGACTACCAGGCCTGCGGTGAGCGGTGAAAACCACGCGGAGCCAGTGCTGGGCTGAGCATGAGCGAAGGGGCGGGGCCAGTGACTCTCGACTCCCGCTCTCCGCCCAGAGGCTATCGCTGGAGTGTCTGCTGCTGCTCCCAGAGCCTCTACCTAGTCATCCCTCCCTTGGCCTCCCTCCGGAAATCACAATAGCTGCCTTCACTTGCTGCCAGGAGCCTCAGAGCAAAGGGAATCGGTCGGGGGAGGAGCCCAAATTCTCCCACATAAGCAAGGGATTTTTTTTTTTAAGCAATTTTATGTTTTATCTTTTTTTTTTTTTTTTTAATCTTTATTGATTTGAGAGAGAGAGGAAGGGAGAGGGAGAGAGAAACATCAATCTGAGAGACACATTGAGTGGGTTGCTACCCACATGACCCCAACCGGGGCGGGGACAAACTGCAACTGAGGTATGTGCCCTTAGTGGAACCGAACCTGGGACTCTCTGGTCCGCAGGCCAACGCTCTAATTGCTGAACCAAACCCGACAGGGCCAGGTACTTACTGTCTCTGTACCACCTTGATACTGCAATGACCTCCTCATTGCCTCCCTGGCTTCAGGCTTACTGCTCTCCAAACCGGTCTCCACCCCGCAGCTAGAGTTAGCTTTGAGAAATGCAGATCTGGTTTTGTTACTCTTCTGCTTAAAACCATTCACTGAGTCCTGATTACATTTAGGGTAAAGACAAAAAAATATCCTGTGGCTGATTAGGCCCTGCCAACATTTCCAAATTGGTTTCTTGACAGTTTTATGCTCCTTTTCACTCAGAGCTTTTGTCTTTACTGTTCCCTCCTGTCTTGACCTGGCTAATACCTTCTTCTTCTTCTTTTTTTAATCCTCACCTGAGGATATTTTTCTGTTTATCTTCAGATAGAGTGGGAAGGAGAAAGGAAGGAAGAGAGAGAAACATCAATGTCAGAGAGAGCAGTTGCCACCCACATGACCCCAACCCGGGTGGGGACAAACTGCAACGTACGTGCCCTTAGCAGGAACTGAACCCACAACTCTTTGGTCTGTGGGACAATGCTCTAACCACTAAGAAAACCAGCCAGGGCTTGGCTAATATCTTATTTATTTCTTTTTTTAATCCTCACCCGAGGATATTTTTCTTTCTTTCTTTTTTTTTTTAATCCTCACCCGAGGACATTTTTCCATTTTTCACTCACAGCGGGAAGGAGAGAGAGGAAGAGAGAGAAACATCGATGTGAAAGGGACACATCGAGTGGCCGCCACCCACAGGACCCAACCAGGGCCGGGGACAAACTGCAGCCAAAGTACATGCCCTTAGCGGGAACCGAACCCGGGTCTCTGTGGACCGCAGGCTGACGCTCTAACCGCTGAGCCAAACCGGCCAGGGCAAGGATATTTTTCTATTTATCTACAGTGGGAGGGAGGTAGAGGGAGAAAGGGAGAGAGAGAAACATCAACTGGTTGCCTGTTGCATGACCCTGACCAGGGTCAGGGACAAACCGCAACCGGTACGTGCCCTTGGTCAGAATCGAACCCAGGACTCATTGGTCCATGGGTCGATGCTCTACCGCTGAGCCAAACCAGCCAGGGCCTGGCTAATACCTTCTTAATCAGTAGGTCTCAGCATAACTTTAACTTGCTTCTCTCAGCCCCCCACCCCCATCCCAAGACTTATTACCAGTGCCTGACACAAAGGTTGGCACATGTTAAGAGCTCAGTAAATATTTATTAATGAACCAAGTCAGGCTTCCAGGGCTAGGTGGGTAATTACCAGACTGTGCAGTTTCTCATATTACCTCCAGATGTCATCCTTGGCCTCAGTTTAACCAGACTTTGCCTGGGAACCTAGTAGGAGGGAGGAGTGGGTGCCCAGTCTGGTCTATCCATCCCCCAAGCTGGGAAGTGTTATGGAAACCCATCTTCTTATTCATCTGCTCTGGGTCAGCTGCCTTGATAGGGTAACCAACAATCCCAGTTTTCCCAAGAATAAACTTTCATGCTCCTAGGATGTGGAACTCTGAATCCTAAAAATGGGACAGTCGCAGGCAAATTGAGAGGTTGGTCAACCAGCCATAGGCAGAGTGGCCCAAACCCCCCTGTCTGCACCAGACTAAAATCCAGGCCCAATAGGAGAGCTTATTTTCAACCCAGTCAAGCCTTTCATAGCAACACCACTGGTGGGCTGATCCAGTAGCCTGATGGTTGTAAGAAGTTAGGGAGAGAGAGTATATACACTTTAAATGAATACAAAGAGAACTGCCTATGTCTGACAATAACTACCATTTGGTGAGCACTACTGGGTATAACACACCTAATTATATTGTTTCTAATCCTCACAGAAACCCTAACAGTACAGATTATTCCCCTTTCAGAGATTAGAAAAATGAGACTCAGAAAGGTTAAGTCACACAGCTGTTAAGTAACATGGTGAAATTCAAACCCATGTCTGTCCAATGGTTGCAGGAGAAATCAGTGGGCTAGATTTCCCCATTGCTTATGGGAGTGAAGTTATTGGGGTACCACTGAAATAAGCATTTTCAGAAGCCCACAGGAGAATGAGATGTGGTAAAAGATTTTATTTGCATGGAGTTACAGTCCTTGGGTTGCAAAGTCCCAGTTCCCTTAATCTAGCCTTAGAAAAGGGGCAGCAGTAGATTCAGCAGAGCTAGAAGCCGAACCAGTGTCTAGTTTCCTTTCCATGTTGCAGCCAGATCCAGTACAGCATTAATCCATTAGTCTATTGTATGGAGTCCACATGGCTGTAGGCCACGTGGGTGAATGCAGGGGAACTCTCCCCCTGCAACCAGAGAGCCGGGAGCTCAGGCAAGCAAGAGCAGGAACTAAGAGAGCAAACTTCCTTTGTTCAGGAGAGTAAATATTCAGAAGTCACACCCTTGCAGTGACCACACCTATTCTGGTCACTGACTTGTTCCTAGGTGTGACAGACAGGTAGGCATTTTCCCACATCACTCAGACCTTACTGGGCATGCATCTAAACGGCCTTTGTCCAGTCCCTTCTTCCATCAGTCTGCGGGGAACAGACTTAGAGAGTGTTAACTACAGCTTTTTGGCAAAGCTGTATAAATGGTATGACTATATTATCTAGTCTTCCCTTCACTCCTTTCCTGTTAAATAGTAACCAGATTATTATAATGGTATCACAACTACAGAGCTCCTTATATTTTTCACTGAATCTGCTGCCTGGCCATTTCCCTCCTGCTCTGGTCTTCATTTGGGAGTCCCAGGGCTGTGAGTAAGAGGCAAGAAGCAGATGTGGGTAGAAGAGATTGAGGAAGAGGCCTGTAATCAGGGCCTGGGGATGGGGTACAATAGCATTGACAGCTTGCCTGTCCACACATGAATGGGCTCTGCTACCTTGAACTAGGTGTGGATATAGCCTGGGGACCTCTAGGAGGCCCCTTCACAGGCTATTGTTGTGACACCAAGCTGTATCCTCATTGAGGAGCCAGGGCTGTGTTTCCCAGTGTCCAGGATGATCCCAGCCAACTCTTATCTGATTGTAAGTGGACATCTGGGCATGGGAGAGGACCTAGGAAAGCCATCAGGAGCTAGCCATAAACTAGAGGGACAAGTGATGAGTGGGGGATGTGACAAGGGTCACGCTAAGCACAATGCCTTGCCCAAAGTTTGGTTTCAGTGAATGGCTGCAATTAATGATGTAGCCAGCTGCCTCTCTTTCACAGAGATATTGTAAGACTGAGTTTTATTTTTGATCAGAAGGTTGTTTAGGAACTGAGCTGCTTTTTAATATTAAAAATTTTTTATCTTCTTTATTGATTTTAAAGAGAAAAGAAGGGAGAGGGAGAGAGAGATTGAAACTTCAATGAGAGAGAACATCGATTGGCCACCTCCTGCAGGCTCCCCACTGGGGATTTGGCCCACAACCTGGGCATGTGACCTGACCAGGAATCCAACTGGTGACCTCTTGGTGCATGGGTCAATGCGCAACCACTGAGCCATACCGGCCGGGCTGCTTTGTAATATTAACAAAGAGTTGGCTTATAGAAATATGAGCAGAAGACTGACTTTGATTGTGTAGGAGTATAGGCAGAGGCCTGATGGGTTGAGCAGTGGGCACACATTGGTCTGACAACCAGATGTTTGCTTCACAGTAGGTAATAATAATCTAGGTTATGCGATCCTGTACATTAAAAAAACAAAATGCAGCCCAGCGGGTGTGGCTCAGTGGATTGAGCATCCTCCCATGGACTGAGAGGTCCTGGTTTGATTCCTGATCAGGGCACATGCCTGGGTTGCAGGCTTGATCCCCAGTGGGGGATATGCAGGAGGCAGCTGATCGATGTTTCTCTCTCACATCAATGTTTCTATCTCTCTCTCCTATCCTCTATCATTAAAAAAAAATCAATAAAAACCTTTTAAAAAATAATAATAATTCTTAAAAATACACACATCTTAAGAATTTCAAGTTCTCTGACAGGAAGGTGCTTTGGGCCATGCAGTTTCATTTTATTTTCTTGGTAATATCCAAAGACTTTAAGGTACAAGATTTGTCCTGGGTCATCTTGGCCCCAGACCTGCCCAGCTCCTGAACTTAGTGAGGCCTAGTGCTCTGTGGCAAGGTTGTGCCCTATGGCTCTACTCTGCCAGCCAAGTCATCAGGCACATAGAATTTGGTGAGTCCTCACCAGAGCTGGACCATGTTTCTGTTCTACCCTAGCTGGCCTTCTGCCTTGAGAACTGGACTTTATACATTCTAGGGCAGGTTGGAAGCCTTAGCATAAAGCCAGGTGGGAGAGGAGAGAAACCATTGGTTAAGTTGCCTTATATATAGGACTCTTGTGTCCTTCATTCTGAAAATACCTAGTGTATTCCAATTGTGACTAAAATGAGGAGGAATTTGTGAAACGGTCACCAGCAATGTATCATCACTGATGTGGGACCTCTTGCCAGGAACTTATGCAAGACAGTGAGCTGATGCAGTGAAAGCACATGACTTTA